TATGCCTCACATTCTGTCGTATGAGGAAGCTTCACTGTTGAGTATTAGTTTTCTCTCTGTTCTACCCCTTTTTCCACTATGTTCCATGATCCTAAGGTATAGAGGTTCCACTGTAGATGTGTCACTTAGGGCTGGGCATCTCTCAGTCTACGGTCTCTTATTCTCTAAAACATGGCCAGTTGTAGCCTTCCTTATGCATCACATTCTGTCGTATGAGGAAGCTTCACTGTTGAGTATTAGTTTTCTCTCTACCCCTTTTTCCACTATGTTCCATGATCCTAAAGTATAGAGGTTCCACTGTAGATGTGTCACTTACGGCTGGGCATCTCTCAGACATATACTTTCTGTGTGTGACCAGTTGTGAAATTCTGTAATAGCCTCCATCTGTTGCAAAAAGAAGTTTCTTTGATAAGTGATATACAGTATGCTTGTCTATAAATATAAGGATCCATATTTAGCGTACAGTAGGAAATTTCATTTGTCTAGAGATATGACAGAAATAGTTTCTCTGGGATTTATGATGTCTCCAGTCATGTGTATTTGGCTATATTTACAATGTCACCCATGAGTTCCATCCTGTTAAGAGGGCTTTAAGTACAATTAGATACCTGTTGATTACCCCCTAGATAAAAGTGCCACTACTAAACCAATAAAGGTAGTTTGCTGTGTCAGTCATTATAGTCATTGGGCTTTACAGCTAGACTGGACCATTGATTGGTTTTCTCCCTTACCAGCTTGCATAGTATCCTCTAGAACTTTGAGAGCTAGTCTTCAGGGAGGCGGCGGCCAGGTCAGTTCCAACTCCATTGCTCCAAGTCCTGTGTCCAAAGATGTCCTGTCTTTAGCAGTAGGGTGTTGCTGAAAGTTACTTGAAAATTTCTTGGAGGAAATCAAAGGCTCTGGCAACAGCCTGTGCTGTTTTGAGAGTCTCTTGGACTACCCTGACCAACAACTCGAAGGGAGGTTTCTCCTGTCTGGCACTGTGTTTCTTGTTATAAAGCCTTCAGCTATACACATACACTCAGGTTCAGATATTGTAAGTGTATTTTTCAGGGTTTGTTTTTTAATTAATACATTTCCCTCTGGCTTTTTGTGCCACCTAAGCTTTGTTTATTTCCCTTTGCTCTCTCCCTATCTAACCTCCCTCCTCCCTCCCCAGTTTAGGTATCCCCATTTTCTCCTTGATGATACCTGTTTCCGATTATCCCCCTCTTGAATTCCTTCTTCTTTAGCCCCATGTTTCCTTGTATGTCCTTCGCTCCTTCCTTTCCAGTTGAATACTCCATTTTTTCTATTTCCCCCTTGGTAACTAATTTAAGTATTTTACTTTATATCTTCTAAAAAGCTGTTTTCTCATTTCAGTAAATATGAATTCTACAATAGGCAGGAACATAAGTCTAAATTTCAATAACGTGTTTATATTGACACTTTTTTCTTTGGAAATTCTATCAAGAATTTTAAGTCAGAAAATATTTTATTATTATTAGTCATAACTGCCTCTCTTCTTCTGAATGTGCTTGAAGTTTTCCACTGGCAAAAAGGGGTTTTCTGGGGCTGGAGAGATTGCTCAGAGGTTAAGAGCACTGACTGTTCTTCCAAAGGACCTTGGTTCAGTTCCCAGCACCCGCATGGTAGCTAACAACCATACAAAACTCCAGTTCCAGGGTATCTGACACCCTCTTCTGGCCTCCTTAGGCATTGTATGACATGGGTGCACTTACACACATGCAGGCAAAACACTCATACACATAAAATAAAAACAAATGAGTCAAAGAGTTTTTTGTTTTTTTTTTTTAATAACAAGGCCCAGTGTGGCACACTGCTTTCCCTGACAGTGGCTGACTTGAGAGTGCGGGAAAGGTGGCTCAGATGTGACTACACCAGGGAGCTATGTCATTGGACAGCCTAAGAAAACTAGCCTGAACTAAGAAGTTTATCATGTGTGCAGTGATTATTATATGTACTTAACTAACAGATTCAAGAAACACTCTGAATTTAGCAGTTAGGAAGGACTTTGTCACAGTTTAATTTTAATGGCCTTTAATATTATAGAAATGAGTCAGACCCAGTCCTTGCTTCAAGAAGTTTCTAGTCTGTCTAAGAATTCAGACATGTGGCTCAAAACACTGTGGTAGAAATTTATGTTTAAGAGCTGGGGAAATGACTCACTGGGCAAGAGAGCTTGCTGCAGAAACTTGAGGACATGAGTTCAGATCCCCAACATCCATATAAAAAGCAAAGTGCAGGCCACGTGCAGTAGCACTGGTCCTTAACCCCAGCACTTGGGAGGCAGAGGCAGGCAGATCTTTGTGAGTTCCAGGCCAAGCCTGTCTCAAAAAAAAATTGTCAGGTGTGGAGGTATACATCTGCAACCCCAGCACTAGAGGCAGGAATGTAGAGAAGTAGATTCTGAGTGCTCACTGGCCATCCAGTTTAGCCAAAATGGCCATCCCTAGGTTCAGTGAGAGACCATCTCAAAAAATAAGGTGGACAGCAACAGAGCAAAACACCCAACTTCAGCCTCTTGCCTTTACAAGCACACATATGTACCCATGCACCTACAAATACACACACACACACACACACACACACACACACACACACACACACATATGCACGCACGTACGCACGCATGCACACAAAATGTTAGAGAGAAGCAGGCAGAGTTTCAGGCCAGCCAGGGCTATATAGTGAGATCCTGCTCAAAAGAAGAAAAAAGAAGAAGAAGAGGAAGAGGAGGAAGAGGAGGAGGAGGAAGAAGAGGAAGAGGAGGAGGAAGAGGAGGAGGAAGAGGAGGAAAACAAAACAAAAAATGGGGTGAGAGAAGGGCTAGGGTACAGCTCAGTGACAGAACACTCAGCAAACATGTTCAAGACCCTGAATTCAATCCTTGTCACCAGTATGACAAGAGTAAGCAATGGAGGCTTGTATTGTATTATATGCTGTAAGATGTGAAGGTGTGCTTAAATAGATACATAAAACACAACAGGCCGAATACCTGAAGGAATGCATTCTGGGTAGGGGCAACACATCTTGGCTACTTCTGAGTCCTTTGGGAATCCCAAAATTGTTCTCTATAAAATTTTCTAAGCCTTCCTCATCTTACACATTTCTAGAGAGTTGACCATTGCCAACTACCAAATACTTTAATGTGTTGGTATATAACACACGGAGATCAATACTGTTTGACTATTGAACAGTAATTCTGCATCTCTAAGGGTAATCATAACTCTTAAATGATTCTTACTATGTTCTCAGGACTCTTCATATGTTAAAGCATTTAGTGTCACAATAGTCCTAATGGGGTTGTATTGCCATTCTCATTTTTCAGATAATACAGATAGCATAAATCAGTGGCTAGGGCCACACATCAGGGAGTGGCACTGCTGGGGTTTAACCCAGGCAGTCTGGCTCCAGAGTCTTATGTCTTAACCCTATGAGTGTCACCTCTCTCTGACAGTATTCACTTCTCAAGGCCACAAGGAACTGGACAGTTTGAAAAAGAGTTCATAACAGTAATATTAAAACTTGACTCTGATCGCCTTCCTTGTGTGCTTCTCAGGGGAGGCTGTGGCTGAAAAAGACTCTGAAGTCACCTTCATTAAGAAGATGAGTTGTGCCAATGCTGATCTGGTGAAAGGAAGACAGTATTTAATCATGGGTAAAGAAGCTCTGCAGATAAAACACAATTTCAGTTTCAAGTAAGTCACCAATATTTTGTAGCCTTTGATCGTCCCTCCAAAACTAAGTATGATTTATCCTTAACTGCGCTACATGTTTCTTATGTATCTTATGTTTAACCGACAAGCCATTAGGAACATAAATAATTTAGAACAAAGAATTGTTAACCACCATCAAAGTACCTGAAGTCTTGGCTGAGGGATAAGCCAACCTGATGAGGAATTGAGAGTGTGTATCTACCTCCCCTAACAACCTGTCTGATCCTTCAGTATGCAAAGGGAAAAATGTTTAAATAGGCACCTTATTATCTCTTTGTAAAGAACAAATCTTGGGGTGCTGGGATGATGGCTCTGTCAAAGAACTGACTTCAATCACCAAAACCAATATAAAAAAAGTCAAGCATGGTGGTGCATATTTGTAATCCCAGCACTGGGGAGACGGAGACGGTAAAATTCCTGGGGGTTACTGGCCAGACAGCCTAGCTTATTTGGCAAGTTCTAGGCCAATGAGAGGTCTTGTCCCCCAAAAAAGGTAGACAATGTTTGAGGGGCCATACCCAAGGTTAACCTTTGGTTTCCATATGCACCTGCACACACATGCACAGACACACATAGACACACACGCGCACACACACAGAAAAGACCTTGCCATAGATGTCATTCCCACCTTTCACTCCTTCAAGGATGTATGCTTTCTCTAGGCTGATGGCAAAGAATGTGGCTGACAGCTTGATGGGGGAGGGGAGTTGCCCACACCTGGACTCTTCTCCAAGAAACTAAGGTCAGTTTTCTTCTGCCTGTGGCCACCATCACCAATACTTTTTTTTCCATTTTGTCTCTAGGTACATCTACCCTCTAGATTCCTCCACCTGGATTGAATATTGGCCCACAGACACAACATGTCCATCATGTCAACCATTTGTAGCTAATTTGGATGAGTTTTCTGAAGACATCTTTTTAAACGGCTGTGAAAACGCCTGAGGAGACTGCGCTGTGTGTAACTTTCACTTCTGGACTCGTTATGGGAAATCCTTTTTTCTTCTTCTTTTGAAGCTGGTCTTACTTGGAAATCTCACTTACACTAAAATCAGTTTCACTTGTTTTTTATTAAAGCACAAATTATAGAGTTTAAACTTTCTGAAATAACATGGCCTGGTAGGGGGAGCCTGAAGATGATAGATAGATGATAGATAGTTG